ATGCGCGTTCCGCGTTCGCGTTCAAGAGTTCCAGAATATTTTTCAATTGAATTTTTTCAGCCCGATTTCCTTCTCGTCCGACTAATCAGTTTGAAATTTATCTTGCCACGCGGCCAATTAATTAACTCGGCGCGCTTTGTATGATCCCGGACATGGTAATAATCGCGGCTAAGTGTTCCATTGTTCAATTAATGGAAATTAACGAAACGATGGAAAGAGTAGCGCAGTAGATAACAATTCTACGATTATTTATGTATGTGTGTTTGAAAATATCTCGATACCTGCATATTTATTTATATTTAGCAACTACTATACCAGTGTTTGAAAGTATCTGGATACCTGGTTATTTACATTCAACAAGTATACTAACGTTCGAAAGTATCTGAATACTTTGCTCACTTATATTTGAAATTTATGTACTAGTGTTCGAATTACACAGAAATGGCACGAAACGTGACTTTATTAAAATTGCGATTGATACAAATTTGAGGATTCTTTCTGACACATCGAAACTTACGAAAAGTACTAACAAGTACCGATACTGATACTAATTTAACTGTATTCTACTAATACTAATACAGTTACTATTATATACTAATCCAACATTCTCTACAGTTAAATTAATACTAGTATAATACTGATGCAACTGTAATTAGTACATGGCATTATACTAATACTAATTTAATTGTAGAGAACGTTAAATATCAGAAGTGTTAAGTTAAGTATCATCTGGCACAGTAAAATTCAACGCGCCAAGAATTTCGGAGCCGACAGGTTTCATTAATCCGAAAATCTACGCTGATCGAATCAGCAAGTCATTAGTCTGAGACTCATCGTTGCCGCATCAAAATCTACGCTCGTCGAGTCAGCGAATCGTTAGCCTGAGAATCATCGTATATCGTATAATTATGCAGGCGAATAGCGGTTAGATCCAAGGCGCGGATAACGATAACCAAGCCCGGCGAAGCTGGCCCTTTCGACGCGTTTCATCTCTATTAATAACAACGCCAGCTCCATCGTGCATCTAACGCACAGTTGCGCAAGCCTGGAAAGACGCAGCCTAATTACGTATGCACGCGTTCGACTCTCCTCGACGTAGGCGTAGACCAGAGAGCAAACTCTCCGGCTCGACGGGGGCCATGGTGTTTGACCTGCGTGTGCATTGTTGCAACATGCACGCGTGTACACGCTTCGCTGTATCTCTCCGCCGGCCATATTTACACGGGCTAATGAATTTCATACATAATTACCGGTTTGCCTGCGTACAGTTAGCCACCACCAGTGTAGATCTACCCCTCTGGTCATCCTTCGGCCAACTTATACTACCCATTTGCCAGAGACTTGGTGACTTGGCTCGCGTTCATGTTAGACTCGTGGTTACTTATTATTTACAGCGAGAATTATCATGATTTTTTAATATTTTTTACTATTTAGAGTACCGTACATTTACCGTAGCAAGAAGAATCAAACAAATTGAGAACAAGTGAGTTATGAATTATTTTCGAGGATCGATACTGTTTAGCATGAGAATTACTATGAATTGCTTTTTTTTTTTTTTTTGAATATTATTTAGAGTAAAATTTCTCTATAGTAAGAGGGAATAATTTAATTGAACAAATTATTGAGCAAAGAATTGCTAAAGGGAATTTTTTTAAAGAATTCCTTTCAGGGCTTCAGGCAAAGTTCAAAATGCGATTGGCTATTTATGCTCCGTATATTTGAAAAAATATTTTAGCAGAACATGAAACACACGTCAATTTAATCAACCATAATTAGAAGCATGCATATAGCGATTGAGGTGATACTGGACGAGCGATTGATTTCAAACGAGCTGCCAGCTTGGCCGTCGTGCACACCGGAGACGTATTCTTGCCGCGTAGATTCCGGTTTGGCGATTCGTTTGCGGTGGAACGTGAAGGATGAACGCGAAGGGGGCCGCCGTGTGGTTTCGGTCGAATCATTTCGGGTGGGAGATCGGTTTCCATTGCAGGCGAGAGCCGGCTGGATTTTGTGTTTTGTGGTAATTCGAATAGGGGTCGGAGGGATCTAATTAGTGTAATTGGTGGATGCTGGCGGAGAGTCTAGACAGCGCAGGGAGTTGGTTGCACATTCACGTGCAGCATGAGCAGCGATTATGGCGATAAATGTGTCCTTAAAGTTTATTAACCAGGCGCGATAATTTTCTAGCATTAGAATAGCTCTAGATTTCTTCTCCTAACGGAAATTACGTTAATAACATATTTTAATAAAAATTGATTTCTTTCGAAATGTGATCGTGTAACTATAATAAATTGTACTAAGTACAATTAGTAGTATTTGATAGTATATTAGCGTTTTAATACCTGTATTAATTATATTAATATTTACATATTGCTAATATTATTAGCATTTAAATTAGTATTAAGTATACTGCTAGTATCGGCAGTACTAGTATATGAATACTTTATTATACTACATTGTAAAATTAACTTCACTGCAATATGCTCAACTTTACTTCACTTTTGTTACTGTACACGCGTGTAATACTAACATTTCTATCGTTCGTTTCTGTTCCAGTCGCTGGAAGGTCAGAACATCTATAATTCCTGTTGCACGTTGCGCATCGACTACAGCAAGATGCAAAACTTGAACGTGAAGTATAACAACGACAAATCGAGGGACTACACCAACCCTTCTCTGCCAACTGGTGACGCGAATTTGGACGCGGCGTCACTTGCCTTGGGTGGCGAGCTTCTTCCACAATTGTTAATGGGCGCCGGGTCACAACCTCGTGCAAGAATACCCGGTGAGAACATCGGTGAATTTTTGCAGATTTTTTTTATTAAAATAATGAGATAGATAGTTGACGGATACACTGTTTGAAATAATTTTGTGGGATGTCAAATTAGGCAAGAAAGTATAATGAAAGGAGGTAAAGTTGGGGTTGCTTCGCTTGCAATTCGATCGTGTTCCTTTTGGATTTAGTTTTTTTTTTTTTTCCTCTTTTCTTTTTATTATTTTGAACAGTGTGTTTTCTTTTAATTTCAAATAACGAAGTTAACTGTTTGTTTTATTTCGTTGCGATTTCTTGTTGTTCAGGAGGTGAAACTGTAAAAATATCATGAAATGTTAGTACAGTTAGTACGTTCGGAATGATGTAGTTTGAAAATATTAAATACCGTAATTGTTAAGTTTACGGCCAGGAGAGTCGAGGGATTTTAATTTTCACTGAAAATTTCAGAAGTTTCAGAAGTTTAACTCTTGAAAAATCTCGAAATTTCAGAACTGTCGAGAACCACTCGTATCATATAAAATCCAATAACGCATTACACGTCGTGCCGCGTTCCTGTACTTTCGTTCGATAAAATCGTGGATGTAACGTCGATCGATCGAGGGGAACGCATAAAAATCGATCGATCAATTAATCCCGCGCACGTCCAGAACGTTCAGTCCATTAGAATTAATCATATTAATAGAAACGGCCAGGCTGTCACTCTGTCTCGCCGACGACGGTTTACGATAAATTGTTATATCGCGAATCGATCCGTCCGTTTCCAATTTGCCGCTGGTTTTCAGCTTCATTTTCGTACGGGATCGAATTTCACGCGGTTAGACAGTATTATTTCCTGGGGTAAATTAATTAATTACGCTGCAACGTCTGGACTGATCGATACAGCCTGACGTTTCGATTACCAACACTCTCGATCTCGCCCCTTCTGTTTCTACGTTTTCAACTTTTTTTCCAATTGTTTCGTTATTCGCAATGCTTTCTTTGATCTTCGTCGAAAGATTTCACAGACGTGAGAGTACCTTGCACGATCAATTTGTCGCGTATTTTTATTCAAATAATTTCCTTTTTTTTATAAATATAATTGAAGAGGTGGAGTTTAAATGGAAATCTTTTTTTATAATTTTTTCTTACGATTTTGATGGTTAAGAAATTGAACATTAAAGGTGAAGAGAAACTGTCGAGATTTAAAAAGATTGGTAACAACTCCTTTTTTGTTCGATCTGACTTTGAACTGAGAATGTTTCAAAAATTGTTAAAATAGTTATTAATTATAGTTTCATCTCCTGATCCAGTTCTTTATTAAAATTATATTTCATTGCGAAGAAGAAGAACAGGCAATTCTTCGATTTAAGAATAATTTTTAAACATTGGAAGCTTAAAGAATCGAAGGATTTCCTGCGTTACATCCCTACAAATGCATAGAAAAAAAAAAAAAAAAAAAAAAAAAAAAAAAAAAAAAA